TTCCCAGACTGTTCTTCGTCTTCACGGTGGCCATTTTAGGATTACTGCTGCAGCTTGCCTTTGGGAGGGTTTTTTTCTGTCAGGAAGGGGAGTTGCAGCTCCCCTCAGCCCTCCAGGCAATTCCCCCCTTCTTCACCACCCCTCCAGGGTAGTTCTGGTCCCAAATGGGACCCTCCAGCAAGTGAGCTCAGGGCGAAACCGTGCACAATCGCGGATTCCGCTCTGACAACTAACAAACCGGAAATCTTCTGACTGAATTTTAATCTTAGCATTTCTGTAACATATTTTAAATGTTATGAGATTTATCCCAACTTCTAATATATGATTAAAAAGTAATAGCCTTTTAAAAATGTCTTTTAATTCAAAGTGGTTTGATTATTTTCCATAAACTGTAGTCAATTCTGCCTTTTAGTGTTACCTGTTCCATATGTATGTCGGGGTACGAGCAGGTGGAGGTATTGGAGATGAAATTGAAGACCCTGCAGGAGACCCTTATGAAATATATCGAATTGTTTTTGATATCACGTTTTTCTTCTTTGTCATTGTTATCCTACTGGCCATCATTCAAGGTTTGTTATTGTTAAGTTTCCTGGGATTTACTAATGCTTGTACTGCAAGCCATATATATTTATTGCCCTTTAAAAAAATTCATACACATTTCTTATCATAGCATCTCCTGGCAACAATTTCCAGACTTTTAACACTGTGTAAAGTACTTCCTTTTATCAGACATTAATCTTTCTGCATTTAGGCTGAACTGGTAAACTCAAAATCTAACATAGGAAAAGGGAATTAATAGCTTTCCTTACGAATATTGCCATGCCAAAAAATAGATTTATGTACCTCTACAGAACTGTCATTCTTTAATTTGCTTTCTAAGCTATCCTCCCTTCTGGAGGGTGGAGAATTGCTCAAGTTCCTACTAATAATTTTACTCTATACCATAGACCTCAGCTATGCTGGCTGAGGAATTCTGGGAGTTGAAGTCCACAAGTCTTAAAATTGCCAAGTTTGGGGACCCCTGCTCTATACAATATTTGATGAGTGATTACACTTCATTTTGAGTAAAGGCATTACTACAGTAATGTAAGAAAGATCTATCTTCAATTATGGTTCTAGTATATGATTTCATCTTTTTTTTTTCAACTGATCAATACAATGTTTAAGAGAGAGATTCATTTTCAGGAATACATCATGCTGCTGAGAAAAAAATGACTGAAGCTTATAGATGGTGAATGTCAAACAAGATGGGGTTTGTTTGTTTTTACAATAGCTAATGATATAATCCTTCCATAAATTGAATTGAATTTCCAGTGGCTACATGAATAACATCCATGAGGGTTTTTTTGACAACAGTTCAGACAAGGTTCATTATTTGGGAGATTCATCTTTCGGAGATTTGACTTCCCAATCTTTTCAGCCAGGTTTGACCATACAAGGTCTGCAAGATTGTGCCAGCTGTCATGAAGCTTAGTGCCATATTCTCCAAAGTGATCAATACAGAACCTCAAGGATTGACAGGACTCTGTTTTGTTGTTATTCATAGTAGCATTAGTTAAAGTAATAGTAAATTATTTTAATGTAAGTAAAGTTTGAAGTCAATGAACAATTTGAGATGTCATGAAGAGCTTGATGAGCTGAAGAATCTGGGGACCCCTGGTTAAGTGAAACCAAAAAAAAAAATTCTTTTGCTTTCCTTGTTGGGACACTCCTCTGTTCTCCATTTTTTACATCAATATTTGCATGTGATTAAAACTAGTTTAGTATATCAAAAATTCCATTTTAATCAAGTCAGTATTTTACTTGTGATTTTTTCTTTCTTCTTCATATGCATTTCTTCTAAGAAATACATTAACTGAGTAGGAAGAAAATCAATGTATCCTAAATGATAGTGCAGGGTGTACATAATACAAATATGTACCAGAGTTAAGTTTTTTAGCAAGTATTTGTGTCTTTTTCTAATAATAGGTCTCATTATTGATGCCTTTGGAGAACTGAGAGATCAGCAAGAGCAGGTCAAAGAAGACATGGAGGTAAGATCATGATTATAGTTTGTTTTCAGTAAATGAAAGAGAAAAGCTTTCCACTAAATTGTCAAGACTACATTAATTCTTATATTGCTAATATTTTTATTTGATTCCTAGACCAAATGCTTTATTTGTGGAATTGGTAATGATTATTTTGATACAACTCCACATGGTTTTGAAATGCATACTTTACAAGAGCACAATCTGGCCAACTACTTGTAAGTAAATGCATGTACTACTTTACTAAAGTGTGTTTCTTGAGAAATGATTGTTAGCAATGTTAATAGGGTTGTCCAGGTTCATAGCACAATGCTAGGAATCCAGAAGTGAACTCTATGAGACCTACTCCAAAATCAGTGTGTTGCACTCCTTTACTCCCAGACTCAGGGCTCTGTCAGGTTATGGATCTTTAGCGAGCCCATATGGCAGCTAGTGTACATTTCTTAGAATTCCCCTGTGGGAGATGGGGTAGAGTGAGGGATATACAATAGAGATTATCATAGGGGAACCAACCTGAAACTATAGCTAGGATCAGTTTCAGGATCACTAAAGAAAAACCAACCAACCAACCCAAACATAGTACTTCATGTCTGCTCAGAACAAGCTTTGGCTATGGGAGGGGATCCAGAACAGGAATGTTCTGTCAGTGTCTAGACCAGCATCTCTCAAATTTGGCAGCTTTAAGATGCATGGACTTCAACTCCCAGAATTCCCTAGACACTAATCAACATAAACAATTAACGCTCATTAACTTGATCAAAAAGGAGAGACATTGTCTTTGGAAAGATGAGCCACCAGAGGCTTTGGCAGCAGGAAAATTAATATTGTTTCAAGGCATATTTTGCTTCAGAACCATTTGGTGTAGTGGCCTGTCATCTGATTTCCTTAAAATGTAAATGTAAAATACAAGGTACAGTTTTTTATTGTTCATGAAAGAAAGAAAAAATACAGAATCCATCACTATCAAAATAAAATATTGTGGATAACTGAACCAGTAGCTTTATCCGCAGCTTTGTATTAGTTATTTTCATTAATGGCTTTTGTATATTTGTTTTTCTTCAAATGTTTGCTTGATGAGGATGTCTACTTTTTTTGTATTGGAAACTCACAAGCAGAGACTTGTACAATTTTACATATTCAAACCTCTTTTACCAATGTAAAATATTTCACTATTTAATATTACCATTCAACTCCTTCTGAATTCCTATAACATGAATCTTAAACAAGTCTTTTTTAGCCTATTGTTTCACATTTTTATATGGAAAAAATTACTGCTTTCTTAAGAAGCAAGAACAAGATACCACCAAAAACAATCATGTATATTTTAATATTCTTTCTCCAGATTCTTTTTGATGTATCTTATTAATAAGGATGAAACTGAGCACACTGGGCAGGTAAAGCATTAATTGATTATGTTAATGAAAAGAAACAAACATTTCAGAAAACATTCATAAAATAAAATCATTCTTTCAGAGATATATTAAATAATTAGCATTTATTTTTTCCTCCAAAAGCAAATTATTGATCATTTTAATCTATAAACATATGACATCCAAATGTTTAAATGGTTCTTCCATTGAAACTCATGTGCTGAATACTGCAGTTTTTCATGCCTTCTTCTGAATATTTAATTTAGTGTATTATAACATTTGTTCATGATCTGTTATTATAAGATTATTATTTTGTAAAAAAAAAGTTCTGTAATCTCATACTAAAGCAAAGTTGGCTGCCAGCCTATATTTAAATGTGAAATGCATTTATCTGAAGTTATCACTATTTAATTGCTTGTTTAGCAAATGAAAATAATGCTGTAATATCTTATATAACAAAAAATACATTCCTTAAGATTAGTAACTGAACTATAAATTGATCAGATAGATTTATCAACAGAAAAACTGCCTTGCTAATTTCAGGAATATATTCCCACTTGAAGTTTCTAATAGGGAAATGTCCATTCATTAATCTGTGAGAAAAATATGGCTTATGTATGAAAATTATTTCTTTTGTCAAATAAATCTTTTGAAAAACATTTGTTTTATATTTTTAGGAGTCATATGTGTGGAAAATGTACCAAGAAAGATGCTGGGATTTCTTCCCAGCTGGAGACTGCTTCCGTAAACAATATGAAGATCAACTTGGATAGAAATACCAAAAAAGAATCTACTATATTCAGTGTAAACACAAATAGAATTCTTACAAAAATAATGGCATAACAGAAATATTGCTTATGTTTGACCTCGAAGTAAATAAAGTAGTCCAGTTTTAAATTGATCTAGATTAGCTTTTTGTATGTTGCAAAAATAGGCCTCTGAATTATTTGAATTTCAGTTTTATTTGTTTTTAAGTGGGGTAGAGCACAAAATAACGTTTAAACATTTCAGTTCAGTACTTTAATTCAGGAATTATTTTAATTTTTTATCAGTCCTTTGTAGAAAATAATATAGTTGAAAGGGCTATATTATCATTTTGCAGCTGAAGACTCTGAATGTCAGGTGATAATAACTTAATCATGGACTCATATGGTGAAAATATTTCAATCAGCCTTGTTTTCCCTGTGCCATTTCTTAGTGTAACAATACAAACCGAAAGATTTTAAGTATTCAGTGCTTAAAATGTTCAAGTATTTTATTGTCTCTAAAATCTAAGTGCCTTAAAGATCCAGATCTAGCTATGCAAAATACTTTTTTTTAAATGTTAGTCTTTTAGATTGACATTTTTGTTATTTGACTGTGTTGCTTTCTGGTCTTTCTGTATGACATGAAATTTAGTAATATACTTGTTACAAAACTGCTTACTACATGCAGCTGGTTTAAAAACCTGTCTTACAACTGAACAGAATTAAACTAATTAGTTGCAAAGTTAATGCGTTTTTTCTTCAAATAACAATATGCACTGCAATAAAGAATTTGCAAAACCAAACTCAATGTCATATTTCATTGTGTTACTGGTGTCACACCAAGACACATTACATAATTGTACTTGCAAATGTAATTTATTTTATTTCACAGACTCTAAATAGGCTTTTATACATTTACAACTTCAAATTAATATTGTTACATTTCTTTATGAAATCCAGAACACGGAAAATACACAAATAGCATTTTTAAGCTTCAGGTTCAGCCAGTCACCAGATTAAATATTTGTAAACATTTTTTACAATTAAGAATTGTCATAGTAAATTATTTTCCGCATACTTGCATGATAAACAAAGTGTAGCCTTTAGGAGATCATAGTATCTAACCAATCCTCAAGTTCCTCTTCAGTAATATTTTTGGAGGCAGCTTCCAGCGGTTGAGATGTGGAGCAAATTTCTTCAGTTCTACCTGGTTCTAAGTGATCTGACAAAAGAAAAGAAAGATAAGTTAAATAATAACTCTTTTATAAATAAAAGGAAAAGAAAAATGATAAATATTGTGATTGTCAGCTCTGAAACAGTGCTATTGTATTAGGAAAATACAAAAATACAACCCGAAGACCAAACATAATAGAATGGAATGGAATAAAATTAATAGAATAGAATAGAATAGAATAGAATAGAATAGAATAGAATAGAATAGAATAGAATAGAAGAGTTGGAAGGGACCTTGGAGGTCTTCTAGTCCAATTCCCTGCTTAGGCCGGAAACCTTACACCACTTCAGACAAATGGTTATCTAATATCTTTTTAAAAACTTCTAGTGTTTGGAACATTTACAACTTCTAGAGTCAAGTTGTTCCACTGATCAATTGTTCTAATTGTCAGGAAATTTCTTCTTAGTTCTAAGTTGCTTCTCTCCTTGAGCAAATTCATCTTAAACGAAAAATTCAAAGCTGGAGAATGTTCGTTCTGCTGATCCTAGAAATGATTCTTTGAGGTTTTTATTTATTTAAAAATTTAAAATGTCTGGGAGTTGAGGCTCTTTGGACAGTTTACAATAAAACATGAACACAAGAAAAAATATGTATGCATATTCAGAAAGCTAGAGCAAACATACAGCTCTGACTTTTCTTCAACATTAGCAACAGCATGGCAAACAATATTATGTGTGAACTAGCCTTAGCAAGATATCATACTGTAGCTATTCGTGAAAGCGCTGACACAGCTATTGATAATTAGATGATATTCAACTTCAGTTTAGACACTTATAGTCTGCAGATTATCAAAACTTGCTTGGTGGAATATTACATCCGCAAAGCTGTGAAGTTATTGCAACCGTTTTTGCAATCAGAGTTTTAAAAAGCTTGATTGTATCATTCCTGTCTAACTCTGTACGATGCTGAGAAAACCCAGTGATATAGCAATACAACTAAATCCAGGAACTTTATACTTGTATCCAGAAGACTTAAGGATGTATGGAAAGAGGTAAAACTGATGCTCTAAGAACTACCGGTACCTGCACTGTTTCCTGAGATTTCCTGAAGTGAATGCTTCTGAATGTGAATCAATGATTTTCAGACCTAAATCTATTTTGCAAAATAATGCAACAATCCATAACAATTCAATTTCTAACAACTGCTAGTGCTGCTTCATTATTCATGTTGTTTCATAAATGCAGCCTGATACTTCTTGAAACATATCCTGTGGCAGATCGTAAATTAAATCATATTTTTGACGATTCATTTTCTTTGAGTGAAAAAGTTAAGGTTCTTTTATATATGAATTTGCAAGAAAATAATCAAGTGGATACTAATTCTATAATTACTTTTATAAATATTCAGTGTGCTCAACTGTACATAGGTTTCCAGAGACGAAATTTCAAAATTGGTCTGCGTTTGACTATACAGCAACAGAACAGTATAATTTCAGCTGTGGCATTAAGCAGATCAATTTCTTATGTTCCAAATACAGTCTTTCTTACTGAAAATACAGTACTGTTACAGTCAATCAGTACCATGATTTAAAATTTTAGAATAGGTAAAAATCATCAGAAGCAAATTAGTGTCAAGTTATTTGGATTTGATTTTGCTTATCAGAATCAATTGTCTCATAATTTAGCATAATTGGTGGGATAATCCTAGCATCCAGGGCAGACTATAAGAGTGATTTCAATTTAATGCATGCTTTAGAAAACAAATTATGGAATAGTTTACAATTAATATATTTGGTTATACTTAACTTCCTCTATAAGAGTTATCAAACTCATGGAATGATTAGGGTAGGGCTTGTTCTGGTTGGGTAAAGGCTAAAAATTACAGGAAAAATAATAAACGATGTTGAACATTTTTCTCTGGAGTCTCTGGGGAATTCTGGAGATTGAAGTTCACACATCTAACATTGCTACGGTTAAGAAACAGCACATTAGCCCCAGGCCCACTAAATAGTTAGGCAAGAATGGATGTAGTACACCTTACTTTAGTTTCATGTGCATTTATTAATATAAAATTATTTTGATCATAAATTAAATATTTTACCAATCTATACTATTTGCATTATGCTTGGTTGCACTCACCCAATAGTGCACATCTGGGAACTCTGGTTTACAAAATGACATGAAAATGTGTTGCACACACAGCCTATTCAGTAGGAAAGGCAACACTGTCCTCAAAGTATCTGTTTGGTTGCTGTAATTTGTTAAATGGACTTAATTTAAGTTTTGCCCTGATCTATAATGTTAGGTTTTACCTTAGCCTATGATGTTTTTAGTTTTAAAAGAATAGGGATCAGAAAAACATTCCATGAACTGTCCCAAAGGTGCTTTTTTCAAGAGGCAGCTTGGACTTTCTGATTTTTCTTTGAAGATGTTTCGCTTCTCATCCAAGAAGGTTCTTCTTCAGCTCTGACTGTATGATGGGGAATTCCTCACCATTCAGTCAAAGCTGAAGAAGCTCTGACTGGAAAGAATTGTTAGGACAATCATGACATGAATGACTGATAATCTCCATAGACATTCCATGAACTGAAATTGCCAGACTTTTTGTTCATGAGGATTAGTATACTGTCTCATCATCAAGAAATTTTAAAGATCACCAGGTAAGCCAGAGTCGGCATCATGACCTACTTGATTGACATATACCATAAATCAATTTTTGATTCCTAGGGACCATGCAGATAGATCTTCTCCAAATATATATGTATAATTGAGAAATGTTGCCAAATCCCTTCCCTGATTTATATAAAATTTGGCATGCTTCAATATGTCTAAAAATTTTAGTTTTCCTGTAATTTTTATTCCATTCTACTGAAAAACAAGTTTCTATTTGTACTTTTCCTATAACGTGTTACGGGAGAATGAAAAGAAAACTTTCTTTTTCTTAATCTTATTCTAGATCTGGGTATCAATCCAGATTTAAAGTAATTCAGACCAGATCAGACTCTTGCAATAATTTCAGAATGATTTTAGAGTTATGTATGTATGCATGCATGAATGCATGTATGTTTTTTCATGCCCAAATGCCAATGTAAAACATTTAGAAATAATTTAAAATGTGTGACTGGACCAGAATACTTAGCTTAAAATTACAATGTGAAATTGGAAAAAAGTTTAGCATATATCATCCCAAACTCACTTTTTTAAAAAAATAGTAAATATTTTCCACAAATTGTATGTTTTATTTTTGTTGTGTGTTTCTTCTTTTAAATGAAACTTTAAAATAGTTTCAGAATTTATTCTGGATAGTTTTGCCAGAACATGGCTAGATAAAAAGGTATAAAATTTGTAAGTCACATAAGAGCTTTATTCTCTCAACTATAAAGTGTGACCTGTTCTTTTTTTTTTTTTAACCGTAGCTTGACTATCTATTTTCCATTTGTTCCCACTTGTACATTGTATTCTCACAATTCCCACTATATATCCTAATTTTTTCCAATAATGTAATTTGATAATCTTCACTGTAGTGATTTTAAAACATGGAAGGCTTCAAAAATATGTTCCAGTGAAGAAGTATGTTTAACTGTTCAGCTTAAACACACACAGGAGCCAACTTATAGTGGAACTTAAATCATGGTGGCATTAAAACCTTTCTGTTTTAAATATATTCAGTTTTCCACTCCTCTTATTAATGTAATCTATGTAATTTATACAATAGTACAACAATTACAACAGCAATGAACATTCCATTGTGAAATCTAAAAGGCCAGATTGCAAACAGTTCATCCTAGAGAAAGTCTAGCTATGTGGTTGCTAAGAGTTGAAGTCCAACTTGACAGCATTTAACAATACTAATAAGTACACAAGGAAACAACAAATTCTTATCTGGATAGAAGAACTAAAAAAATCTTTTCTAGAAGGAGAATTCAGTAAATAGGCACAACAGAGGATGGTTAGAGATAATTTCTGAGACAGTGATGGACTGTAGCAAAATGATTTGTGACAAAAATGCTAGGGGAAATATAACCTCAGCCAAGGAATATACTGTAACACCTGGTGCTCACTCATCACTAGAAAAAAGCAGCTGATCCACCTGATACACTAATGTGCTTCTAGTTAGTAGCCACCTGCAGAGCCCTAACATGAATGTTTTATTGCTTCATTCTAAAGTACTACCTACTATTGAAGTCTAGCATGTGTTCTGAAATAGACTTGTTTCTGCCAAATCGCTATGGTCCATTTTCAGTAAAGGAAGATCTCCATCTACTTTTACAGATAGGAAGAGAGCCAGTTTGGTCTAGTGATTAAGGCACCAGCAGAGAAAGTAGGAGACTGAGAGTTCTAATCCCACTTGACCTCCCTTATACCTCTTGGAGGACCCTGAATAGATTGAGAGTTGGAATACCTAAGTGTAAAACCAATATGCTCAAGTGGAAGCTCTTAGAGGATAACAACACACTATGTGAATGTGGAGAGGCAAAGAGCCCAGCTAAATCAGTTGTTATATTGGTTACTACCAGAAACATGTACCAATCATGACTTATTTTTGGCCAATGACAGAGCCAAGAAGGTGGCTTCATTCTGGCATTTAAAGTTTGATCTAGACATGGAAGAAGAACCTTAGACATGAAAACTGACTAGGTGACTTTGGGCCAGTTACTTTCTCTCAGCCCAACCCACCTCACAGGGTTGTTGTGTGGAAAATAGGAGGAAGAAGTATTAAGTCGCTTTGCCACCTTGAGTTATTTATAAAAATAATATAAGTTCATCCTCTAGGCTTCTATATATAATTTCAATTCACTTCATGGGTAAGAAGAGGAATGATTTTTTTTTAAATAGGTTAAGAAAGATGATCCATATGAGACACAAGATACACCATGACTGATATAATAATGTATTATCCAGCCAGGTGTAATGGCATACAATATTTGTGGAAGGAAAAATATTTCACTGATTGCATTGAAAATATCATCATCATCATCATCATCATATCTTGGAGCAATATCTAAAGGGCTACGTTGCTATTTGGAAATTCTGAATTTTTCAGACTTGAATACTTGATTCTACAAAAAAACACCCTTCCTACTTGGAACAGCTTATATCCTCCAGTGCTACCTTAACAGTTCCTAGGTCCTTGGTTAGGGTTAGGGTAATAATAATAATAATAATGGAGGAGGAGGAGGAGGAGGAGGAGGAAAAATGCCTAATACTTACCAGTTTCTTCAAAAGTCTTTGTCAAATCATCCCCAGATGGCAGGCCATCTGCCTCCACTTCCAAAGCAATATTGTTTTCAGGATTAATAGGGACATCTAATTTCAGGAGCAGATCAAGGTCTTCATCCAAATGATCTATTACTTGATGTAAACTTGAAGGATTTCTCTGAAAAGCCTCTGAAGAAATTCCAGATTCATCTTTATTTGACAAAGTCAAGGGAACAGCAGAATCTTCCTTGGGATAACAGTGCGACCCAACTCTCTTTTGCTGTTGTAATAGATCGCCACTCTTCTTGGCCACATCATGACTTTGCAGCTTAATCTGGGGAAGTGTGACTGGAGTTGCATCCTACAGTAATAAGAAAAAAGGTCTAAACGATGTTTAGCTTCTGCCAGAAAAACCCCCCCAGTAAATACTCATATATACATATTCACACTATGGATAATAAGCTCATACTGTATGGAAGTACAGGTAGTCTTCAACTTACAACAGTTCGCTTAGTGACCAAAGTTCCAATGGCACTGAAAAAATAGACTTGACCGTTTTTCACTGTTACATTTCCATGATCATGTGATCAAAATTCAGATGCTTGACAACTGCTTCATATTTATGACTGTTGCTGTGTTCCAAGGTCATTTGACCCCCTTTTGCAACCTTCTGACAACCAAAGCCCATGGAGAAGCCAGTTTCACTTAACAACCAGATTACTAACTGATCAATGGCAGTGATTCGCTTAACGGAGGCAAGAAAAGTTGAAAAATGGGGCAAAACTCATTTAACGAATATCTTGCTTAACAACAGAAATGTTGGGCTCAGTTGTGGTTGTAAGTCGAGGATCACCTGTATAGGAATATTGCTCTAGAAAGTAAGATTAATATTTTAATAAGCTCCAGTTTCAGCCTTTTATTTACCAAGGTACATGTACCATACCAATAACCTGCATAATCTTTCTTTCTTTTTCAAGGATTTGCCTGCAATCTTTTTATACTTGTGCTTTCTCCCGAAACAAGCCTGAGGTAAGACAAAAGAAACCAGTGGAACCATCTGCCAAATCCTTTTCAAATGAAAACCATTCCAATGCTCTTTTCCTTCGAGCATCCAAATAGTAAGACAGCTTCCTTTCCTCACTTAGTTTGCAATTTCATTTGATTCCTCAGGAAGCTAGAAAAATAATGCCAACAGAATGGGAAGCATTCATTCTACTGAACAGCACAGTCTTTTATTTTACCATTGAAAGATGTGATCAGCTTACAATAACCAAGGACACCAAATTGGTCCATTCAGTAGCAAGAAAAAAACAAAAGAAAAAATGTAGCTTCCTACAGCCTGCAGTTCATTGACTTGGTGGCTCTAATCAGGCACAGTAGGAGAATCTGTTACTTCATTACAGCACAGAATGTGCCCTAACAGTAGATTAAAAAAAAAAAAAAACAGCCACTGCTTTTTAAACAATTAACAGCAGGAAAAGCAATGACATCCAGCCTTGCCATTGTATGTAAAGGAAGGACTTTGACTTGCAAAATAAATGCAAATTTCTCTGCTAGTCACATAAGTGACTTTGAGTTGGAACAAGAAAAAAAGTGAGCAACATCAATATCTAAGTCGCTTTAGGCAATCCCTCAGGAGAAAAAAAAACAGATTTGGGTTCTTATGTAGCCACCTTTTATCTAACCCGGAATGATTTTTCTAGCATTTGATATACCGTTAAGTTTACCCAACAGCTACAGCTAATTCACATAACTCCTTTTCAGTCTACCTGAATATTTTGCTTTTTTTTCCCCGCTTCCCACAGTCAGAAGATATTTTATATTCATGATGCTACCAGGAATTATAAACTCCGGGCAAAAGTAATTATTTTTTTATATAGGTCTGTGTAGCACTGCTGAATTAGATCCACAGTATAATGGACAAGATCAAAGCAAAGATTATTGTAAAGATCAGGGAGAACAAGAAAGAAATGTTCTCTGTGAGGTTGCTAACAAGAGTGTCTGTGTGGGGTGTGTGTGTCAAAATCTGGAGTAACAAAACTAGAACGAGCAAGTCTTTGGGGATGCTAGCCTTGACCTAAATGCACTTGGCAGGTGGAAAATATAAAACATTTTGTTTTTGAGGAGCAATGAAGCCGAAGAAGTGCTGATAGGAAATTCTGCTATTTAATAGCATTCCTCCCTTGTAGAGCTGAAGTAATAACATTAAAATAATATGAGGCAGTTCAGCTTACAATATGGCTCAAGGTATTTTTGAGGAGGATGGGTATTACCTGTACCACTTCAGCAGCCACGTTGAGTTTGAGGTGCAGAGGCAGCTCTTCCAGCGCTTGAACCAAGGACTGGCAGTCAACGTACAATCCTGACAACTGAAAACAGAATGCATGCACACTAAATGAAAACTGCATTCATTTTGATCACCCTGTTAGTGCAACAAAGTCTTCTCTCCTAGGTTGGGGGAGACTAACAGCATGCAATACCTTATTTTTTCACTGCAAGCAAAGCTGTAACCAATTTTCATTACATTGGATCGAGTGACTCATGCACACCTGATTTCATATACAAACTGAAGCACTAACAAGCAACCATCTATTACCTTGAACTTCATAATTCTGACAACATTGTTTGACTTCCTTTACATCAGTATGGGTTCTGGGATGTTTGGCATTTTCTGAAAGATTGTGGCAACAAGCCACTGCACAAGATAGGCAGAGGCAGAGAACTATTATTCCATTTTTATCCAGAGGATAAAAAAAATCAGTGCAATAAGCTTCCACTTATTATTTTTTTTAATAGAGGACAATACTTTTTACAAAAACTTTTTAAAAATTACTCTTATTGTACGTGTTGTTATTTCAATGGTTTAGATTTCTGCTATCTGTTTTTAAGATGCTATGAATGTCTTGTTTGTATTTTGTCTGATACTTCATAGTGCAAAAATGATATAAATATATTGCTGATTAAATGAATAAATAACTAAACAGAACCTGAACCAATTCAGAAAACTTGTAGATGTCTTAAAATATGTTTCTGCTGATGTTTTGAAATTTGCTATTATTTTAAGCCTGAAGATACTTGTAAAAAACATTCTAACACTTTATCAGTGTTTGAAATGACCAAATTGTTTTCACTCAAATAATCTGGAAAAATATGAATTAATGATACTGTACTGATATCTACTTATGTAGAGCCTAAAATAGTAATCAATAGTAATCTTTGAAGTTCATGTTACTTTTCTGAGACAATAGAACATAGAATAATAGAGTTGGAAGGGACCTCGGTGGTTTTCTAATCCAACCTCCTGCTTGACCAGAAGACCCTTTCAGACAGGTGGCTGTCCAGTCTCTTGTGGAAAGCCTCCAGTGATGGAGCACTCACAACTTCTCAAGGCAACTCATTCCCCTGGTTGATGGTTCTCACTGTTAGGACATTTCTCCTTAGTCCTAGGTTGCGTCTTTCCTTGATTAGATTCATCCATTGCTTCTTGTCTTGCCTTCTGGTGCTTTTTAAAATAGGTCGACCCCCTTCTTCTTTGTGGCAACCCCTCAAATACTGAAACACTGCTACCTCCCCTAGCCTTCTTTTCACTATACTAAACATACCCAATTCCTGCAACTGTTCTTCATATGTCTTAGTCTTCAGCCCCCTAATCATCACTGTTGCTCTTTTCTGCACTCTTTCCAGAATCTCAATATACTGTATTTTTTATATTGTGGTGACCAGATAAATAATAAACAAGACAAGAAAAAAATTTCGTGGAACTAAACACAAGAAATTCTTCAAAGGATTCCTCAAAAAATTTCACCATGTTATATTCTTAATGGAAACAAGATCACAGTATGATGTCATTTCATCGATGTCTTCTGTAATGAGCATGACAAATGAGAAAAGGAAAGCCAAACATGAGATCCAATTCTAAGCAGCAGCCTAGGATCTTCTCTGATTTTGGCACAGACATTAATACAAAACAAGGGGATAGAAATCATAGAATGCTTTCCTGAGCAGTTGCTGACATTATGATTTCATTTCATTACAGACTCTCAAAGAAAAACTATAATCTTACATTAGCAATTCCCTAACTTGAACAATAAGGCTAGGATAAAATCAGTAGATAAATCTCCTGTCTCCTTACCTCTTTTTAGTAAATTAGTCCTCAAGTTGCAAGAAGTTATTTATCTTACAAATTTGACCCTCTTTCAAAGTCCCTGTCGGTACCTTCCTCTGAATTGTGTTTGATAAATCACTTGCCGTTCACCCAGAAGTGGTATTCAGCAGGTTCTGACCAGTTCTGGAGAACCGGTAGCAGAAATTTTGAGTAGTTCTGAGAACCAGCAAATACCACCTCTGACTGGAGATTTTACAGTATCCTTCCCCTGCTACGCCCACCAAGCCACACCCACAGAACTGATAGTAAAAAATTTGAATCCCACCACTGCGTTCACCCTTTTCAACAGAATTTTAGAACCCAGATGATAAATTAGGAAGGTAATCCTTTTTTCTTGGGTGCCTAAATTATCACCAAATTGATCTTGCCTTAAAAAGCCAACTTAAAGGTAGAACAATGGTGAGAAACCTTGCTTTAAGCATGTCTTTTATATATAGGTCTCAGAAAAAAAAACACACTTCAGAATATTAGTCACAATAAGGTAGGCAATGTAGCCCAATGATCTGATCAGGTTTGGATCCTGGAATAAGTAGCTGTTATCCATCTTCCAAGGTAACTATCAATATATTTCAGCAGGATGTGGCAACATCTACTACTGTGCCAAAATGTTTAGTATCTTTTTTTTTTTATTACTTCATGTAAAAGTCCTCTTCTATCAAAACTTAACAGCTAATAGCCATGCCTTTGAACCCTACAATGGACTTTCAGTAGCTTTTCTTCTCGCTGTATCAAACTATGACAGAATTTTATAGTAGACAACTTTCTGCTTACTAAAACCACACTGTATGTGTGGCTGATACAAACTCACGTGTACAACTTGTACTGTTTCACTCAGGTGCAGATTCAACTATAGTCCATGTCCATTTTTTAAAGATACATACTGTATGGATTTGTTTGGGCTGGTATTAAGATTTAACATGGATGTGGGAGGACTGATTTTAATAGTTTTTATGCAATAGCTGGGTTATTTTACTCTCCTTAGATTTAATAACACTTACTTAGCATTTATAAAGAGCACTTTAAGTGTTCAAAGCACTTTGCATATATTACTTTAATAATCCTTACAAAGTAAGGAAGTAATATAATTCTTATTTGCCTGGGTTTTGTGTGTGTGAGTGTGAGTGTTACATGAAGACTGAGAACAGTAACAATTGCCTATTGTTTTAAGATGATGGCTGAAACAATATTATTTTAACAATTTTATCAGTTTTACAGGTATTAAACAACCCATGCTCCCTTGGGTCTTCATTTCAGGAAAAAAAATCCTTATCTAAATAGAGAAACAGAATGACCACAGGTGAGCAAAAAAAACAGAGGGAGCAGGAATGACTTCTAACCACCTCCCCTTTGAATTTTCTTGTGGGAAGCTGGTAAGGGAGCATTAGAAATCTTGAAATCTTCTGTCTTTCCTTCTTCCGTTTTCCCTTCCCAGCAGAGAGGTAAGTGGCTGCTGCTGGGAAGAAAACAGAGTGAGGGAGTGTGAAAGCGGCTGGGAAACTATCACAAAATGTTGAAAATGCAGATCACATGACTGCAGCAGCATCCTGCAGCCTTTAAGCAGTCGCAACTGTCCCCAACTTCATTTCCTTGGGAGTTGTAGGGTCTCAGATTCATTCTACAAGGTAGTCCGTTTTGACGTAGCTTGAGTCAGAAATTATTGCCCTATGATGATGCACTATTTCACTCTTTCAAAAGTTACAGACACAAGAATTTCAGTTCAAAAACCTACTATATCTGAAAGATAACGGTCATTCTTTTGAAGACAACAAAGTTCACATTTTGGTCAGAGAGAACCACTGGGCTGAGAGAGGGGTCAAAGAAGACATCTATGTTAAAAGTGAACAGCCCTATTTACAACGCAGACCTTTCAGTAGTCTTATGAAGATTCCACACCCATTTGCACTCTGATTCAGGTGACACAAGGGGTACAGATAAAACCCCCAAGTGGCCTCAATGACTCTCAGAGAACTAATGGCTGAACTAATGCCTTCAGAATGCCAATGACCATTCCCCTTCAGTCAGAACCGGAGAAGTTTCTTGGAGGAGAAGCAAAACATTTTCAAGGAAACCCTCCCCGCCCCCAAGAAAGTCCAATTATCTTTTCAAAAGCACTTTTGGGGCATAACCTGGATGATTGAGAATCTCCATACATATAAGGCTATTTCACTCAGATGAGACACAAAACAACTATTACTTGCTCCACTATCTGATGAAGAGTTTAAACAATATTAAAATTCCCAACAGTAAAATACCAGGACTGAATAGATTTCCTATAGAGTGGTAAAATATTAATAGATTTTTTGGGGGGTGCCAAAACTGTCAATTTCATCATGAGGTACTTAATAAGGGAATATTACCAGAGATATTATAATGCAATTAAACAAGAGTTATAATAGTACATACTGCAAATATTTATTAACTGCCATGGAAATAATGAAATTTTAAAAAGATACACAGCAATTTTTAAAAGAAAGACTTGTTCTCCATTACCTGCTTTGGGCAAAGGTTTTCTGAAACCCATTCTTTTTCTTCAGTAAATCTGAATTGGGTAAAGGAATCGCCTGAAAACAAAATGACATTTAAGTTAAATAGGCCACCCCATTTATCAGAAATGACTGAGGTTACATTAATTAAAAAAAATCAAGCTTGATGCACTAATAATATATCATTCCCTGTTTCACACTATTCAAGACAGCAACCACGATGATAAAAATGGTGAGAACATAACTTAAGAGTAAGTGTAAGGACCAGTCAGATGAATAAGAGTTATTGTTTAGCTTCTTATTATGCTTCCAGATTCCCTGTTTATTGTCTTTCAGACTGAAAAAGACCACATGTGGGATAGTCCATGTTACAAACAAACAGGAAACTCCTTCGCTTAGTAAAACAGATTTTACAAAAGGTAGAGCACACTGCACACTTCATGCAGCTTCCAGCAAGAATGAAAACTGGCATAACCTAATTCAGAGAAATAGTTTTTATTCTGTTTGAAGAAAACTTCATCAATTAGCGTGTACACTAAAGGCAAGTTTGTGTTCAGGTTTGTGTAATTCTGAAACTAGCATTGTTTAATTTCAACACTTCCAGCATGCTGTGTATGGTTCAGGTCTAAAGCAAAACGTTGCTTTAGAAAACCTGCTGAATCGTTCTCCCTGTTAACGAACAGAGGGAAATGAATGGACTGCTATAATATGTTTAACTTTTGAGAGAACTTAATGATCACTGCATTTTGAGGGATGAAACATTCCCAGATAGAGGCAGTTGCAGAATTTGTCCACAAGGGAGAAAGCAATTCCTGTCCCCACTTCCAGGGGAAGGAGAAATTGATATTGTATTGCTTCGTGTGTTTTTTTTAGAATGTTTTTTTCATTTTTAAATCATTTACTGTCTACCATATTTAAATTCTTTCTAAGACCATTATGACTGAAAAGGAAAAAGGAAAAATTTACAGGTAGTCCTCAACTTACAATCACAATTGAGCCCAAAGTTTCTGTTGTTAAGCGACACATTTGTTGAATTCTGCCCCATGTTACGACTTTTCTTCCACATTTGTTAAGTGAACCACTGCAGTTGATAAGTTAACTCATTAAGTGAATCTGGTTTTCCTGTTGACTTTGCTTATCAAAAGGATACAAAAGATAGCTGTTTGACCTTGGGACAGAGAAACTGTAATAAGTATGAACCAGTTGTCATGCATCTGAATTTTGATAACATGATCATGGGACTGTTACAAAGGCCGTAAGTGTGAAAAATGGTCATAAGTCACTTTTTTTAATGCCACTGTAATTTTGAACAGTCACAAAATGAACTTCGTAAGTCAAGGACTACCTGATTAGAAATTACTGCTTTTGGTTATAAATTATACTTTTTACTCTTCCATCTTTTTTTCCCCCTGTGGTGAACTGGAAAATTATCAGCTTTAATCTCCTCAGAGGCTATCTTAAACTATTCTCTTCACGTTTTCTGAAAATCTGCAGCAAATCCAAGGAGTCATACAGTTAAACTTTGGTTTGAATCCCCTTGTGGTAAAGAATGTTTTCCATCAAAGTGTAAAATATTTCAAATTATTTTCTTGCTATTCTAGATCTGAACACATTTGCAAATTTACACTTGGTAAAACAAACAAATGATAACAGTTGCTAGCAAAAAGCTTGCTTCCTTCTTAACTCATTCTTTCCCATCGGTGCACATGTGATTAACTAAACCCAACTAAAATAGAGTTTGGATCGTCCATCTTCTTTTCCTTTTTCTATTACTTTTAAAAATTGCAGCTGCAATTTCATTGGCTGTTTTGTTTTTTCTATAGTGCTTCGGCATATCTTGGTTTTTAATAGGTTCAAACATGCATTATATAATTTACTAGAAAATAGTTACTAGAAATCATTTAAGATATAAGCCAGTTTTCAATTAACTTCATAAAGGATGAACACATTTTGCACAAATGTACTATCATATTAAAATAGAAGTTCCTGTTCACAAAAGAATTTTATAAAGCTTGTAAAAAATAATCCCCAACGGCACTAGTAAAGATTTGAATTAAAATCTGCATTTCTATACAGGAGCCAGATTGCAGAACACCAGGAAACAAGAGAAATTCTAATAACATCTCTAATTCTAAAATCTGTTAGGATATTAGTAAGTTATTGCACTATTTATTATCTACAGATCATTAGCTCTTCATATGTAACATCCTAGAGCAGGTGGGTCGTAACAATTATGAACACTTTTGCAATTTAAAAGAAGCACCTCTTATCTTTGTGATGGAAGAAAACTAAGTTTGATTTTCTGCCAACTGAAAAATACAGAATGCAACAGAAGTCAATAATGACTAGCATCACAGTAGGTGTTTCAGAAAATATTTCAAAGTGAGATGATGATGGTAATTTTTATTATATACATGCCTGCTGGACCAATCTGCCTCTATGTCTACGTAAAAATGCTGCAATTTAGTTTCATTTTGCTCTACCCTTAAAAATGTATGTATCTAATTGTTAGTTGTTCCAGGGCATTAAGCTGACTTATTTAGTGGCATGTATGACCTCAAACGCTCTCAGTTAATGAGCATTTCATGGTAGTTATTTCTTAACCTACACTATTAAACCTCAGAGAATTATTACAAAATGAAGGAAAAAGATGGTTGGATAAAAGTTATGCTGAACTGCTGAAATAATGTGAAAACTGGAAATAGTTCCCATTCAAATACTATGAAGGTTTTGAGTTGAGAACAAGACTACATTGGCAATGAAATATTTCAGATTATGACCAGATAATTTATTCTCTAGTCTCAACCAAGGCACATCCAATTCTCTCCTGGGAATATGTTTGAGATACATATATTTACATATATTTGTTTTGACGATCATAGAAAAATTGCTGACAAATAATTAGATTTCTAACTCACAACTGACTTCTCAAGTAGGCCTCTAAAAGGTCTCTGCAGTAGGAATGTAAGGTTATGCAATGCTTATCTATAAATAGGTTATTCAGATCTAATCACTGAATAAACACATATACCCTGTTTCTCCAACAATACGGCCTCCCCCAATAGGGAGTCCCAGCATGTTTTATAGGCATGAAATGAAATTAAGCCCCTCCCCCAAATTAAGGCCTTTATTAAAACATGCAAAATGGGGGGAATGGTGGGGGGGGGCTTGCTGTTAGGAAGTACTTTTGTTGCACACCCGGATATGGTGCTGCCTGCGTTGACCTCGATACGAAGTGCCCCACCAACGCCGAGGTCAACATCCAAGCTGTCGCCGCCCGCCCGCCCGAAGATGCAAGGGGGGGGAATTAAGTCACCCCACCAAAAGACGACCTAGCCATTTTTTCAGGGCTAAAAAAAAAAAAAAAAGACCCGGCCTTATTATATGAGAAACATGGTAGATGTAGCAGTTCTGAGTTATTTAGGTAAGTCAACCCGCCTTACGTTTTATGTTATGTTCTTGATTTTCAAAGACAGTGAAATGTATTAATTAAAATTGCTTTGTACACTTTTTTGTACAAATGACAATTTCTGTCCTTCAGAAAAAACATAATCATTTTAGTCTAATTATTTAGCCTAAATGTTGCTATTTTTTTGTTTCAACACTGGGGTTGAGAAATAGAAACCACACTGTCTGCTAATTTGTGAATTGATAACAGAAGGAGAATGCCAGGGTTCTGACCAACGCCCTAACAAAATTAAGAGTCTCAAGCCATCTAGCAATAAAAATCCAGTTGTTTATTAGGAGCATCATGCTGGCACTTCCTAGTGAAGCCAGCTGTGGCTTCACCTAATCTGTGCCTTGCCTCTGTCCCTGTTTCCCCCTCTGCCCCAGAGTGTGTCACTAGTCACATTCCCCAACGAAGCAATTTTGCGGGTTGTAGAAATCACTCCCTCCAGCCACTGCAGGTCTCTGTGGAGATGACCTTGACTTTGGCTGGCTAGGCTACATCTTGTTTTGACTGAGGTGTGAATTCCTGGGTGCAGCTGCGAGGTGAGATTCCCATCCCCCTGCTTATGGCAACTTGAGAGCAGGTCAGGAAAGAGTCATGAATTGACAGACAACAGCCCCCAGCCTCTTGACTCACAGTGATATCACAATAGATGTTTTGATGAACAAACAATTTAAAGGTGGTCCATAATATCACAGAGGACGTTTATCAAATAAAGAAGCAATATGTGCAATTCATCAGAAGCACATTCAGCATAAATTAGTTTAATGGAAATGTGGTCTAATTATCTTTTAAATAAACTCTTAGCACAAGAGTAATTTAATGTTACTCCATAAATATTAATAAACTATTGGACAATAAGCTGTGAATGGTTTCAAATTTAAAAATCATTTTTTTAAATTCCAGGTAAAAGTAATTGAAAATTAAAGCAACATGAACATTGTTTTGGGTAAAAAACAGGACCAATCTCCTCTTTTCAATTTCTCACATTCAAAAGTGGGAAATCTATAACAGACACTTATATCCCATTGTAACTCCTTAAATGAACTGGAACCCAAATAAATTAGATACCTGGGTTCTAGTATTAGCTAAATTCACTTTTAACCCAAACAAAACCAGAGTTCTAGAGCTCATGGTTTAGACATGGAAGAAATAAAATAATTAATACTCATGTGCATTTCAATTCCAATAAATAAATCATTTTGAGGTTGAAACATTCTAATCTTTAGAGACTTCAGAGGATAATTAGGACTGCAGAAAAAACAACTTCTACCAACCTGCCTTCAATCGAGGAACTGTATATTGCATGAGTCAAAAAGAGGGCTGGAAAATATTTACAGACCCCTCACATCCCGGACATAAACAGTTTCAACTCCTACCCTCAAAACGATGCTAGAGAGTACTGAACAACTAGACACAAAGACAGTTTTTTCCAAACGCCATCACTCTGCTAAACAAATAATTCCCTCAACACTGTCCGACTATTTACAAAATCTGCACTACTATTACTATTAATCTTCTCATCACTCCTTATCACCCATCCCCTCCTACTTGTGACTGTGTGACTGCAACTTTGTCGCTTGTATCCTTACGATTTATATTGACTTTTCCTAGTATGATTTGATTG